GGCAAGTAGTTGCATGAGTACTAAACTAGATTTCTAGAAGCGGATGAGTAACTGGCGGTGTCTGATTGGCTGCTGGCTATAAGAGGATTGAAGCACGGGAAGCCTTACCCAAATATGCATATCACGTGATTCCCATTGTCTTTGACGAATTCCATTTGTCTTGGGCAGATAGCCAGCATACCAGATTACTCCTCGACTACACCGGTCAGGGAGAATCCTTCTCATCTCGCATTCCCATCCCACAAACATCCATACTCGGAAGAATTAATACGCATGTTATACATACGGGTCTTTGGCAAACCCGATGCCCGTCAGGCTGGGCACAAACAAAGAAGGAAGGAGGGCGGTCGCCATCCGGATTGGAGACTTCCTCTGTCGTTAACAATCTGGATTTCCACGTGCCAATCCATTGGCTCAAGTATCGGTGAGCAAAAAAAAAGTGTGCAGGGTGCTCAGCCCAGGCACCACACGTGCATGAGGCGGGATGGGGGTACAGGCTGCTGGGATATGGGAGATAAGAGCCAATGCAGGGATGGGCAAAGAGGAAATGGGGGGGAGGCAGAAAGGCGTCCACTGGAGTAGATATGTGGCCCACCAAAGAAACGTGCAGCGGCGGCAGCCGGGAGGCTTGCTGTCAAGGCTGTAGGAATAGTGCTCTAATACTTACTTTTTAGAGTACTCTCCACACATACATGTGTAAGCGGGTTGATGCAAATGCAAGCCAAGCATGCACGAGGTATACACAATGTTGCCAACCGAATGCATCCCACGTCTTCTATTGACTGCCGAAGCGAGGCAGGAGTAGGCTCTTCACCTCTAGTATTGCACATGGCCGGAATAGGCTAATCTTCAAGCACTGCATGTGTAATTGGTAGATGGCCGGATGGCCGGGTGTGGTGGCTTGATTGCCATTGGGTGTAGCTAATGGAATTTGGTAAGTATAAAAAGCAAGGAAAAAGTGACAAGAGATAAATTCCCATCAGAACATGTGTGTGTATACATGGACACTCTGATGCGTGGATGGCTACTTCTGGTTGTGCAAGCGTGTAGTTGTCTGCATTGACAAACTGCGCACGTGTTACCGGACGGTAAGAACGGTGCATCGGGCTCGCCCCGGCAAACTCACGCGTCTGCGTCTTCCCCCCCCCCCATTCTTATCCCCATTCCCCCCAATGGCCCAACGTTTGAAACCCGGATCGGCAACAAGTGGTCGTTAGGGTAGGCGGAGAAAAGGTGTCCCAAGGCGGGAAGTAGTTCCATGGGCGCTATGCCACTTGACTGTGTCTTGTCAATCTCAGCTGCCATTCTCCTGATCAACTTCCCCTCTTTTTTGCTCGCAAGTTGGTCTTGAAACGGCCGTGCATGAATAGCGTAAGACATGTCAGAATGCAGGGCCAATCACGCAACGGGCCTCCACTCACGACTCGCAGCACAGTGTGAATAGGGCCCTAGGGCGTGATGATCTTTGCTATCACGACAGGCCTAGTCGCCGAGGCTCCGGGGGGCCTAAGCTCAATAACCCAACATCAACAGGAACACAGGCCGTGCCATCATGGTAGAGATGAATTATGTTCATAGAAGTTAGGTAAAAACAAAAAGTTAAACAACTCTAAAAGTCTGTCAAAGGGAACAGCACAAATCTTTTGACTCCCAGAAGCATGCCGCATCGTACCTCACATGGCCACCTCCCCCCCAATAGGAAATACACGGTACCGATCAAAATGCCATAACACAGTCGGTCTAAATAAATCAAGGCGGATGCCAAGAGCGCCGCCATTTAGCAAAAGGTTGAAGAAGATGTGTGAGAGAGAAGAGAAGAAGAAAGGAAAAAGCGGTCGATACCAGTGGGTACTAGAAGAAGGGAGGAGGGTGTTCAGAGGCGCGTCCAGTAGACGTGAATCCGTTAAGGTCGGTAATGCGAACCCAAAAAAAATGACAGTGTCCAAAGCGAGAGGCAATCGAAGGGCAGTGTACCACCAGGGCGGCGGCGGACAGGCAGTACGTAATAGTTGGGCTTCGCGTATTTTCTTCTGCTGGACCAAGCAGCACCGCCAATGGCGAGGGCGGGGGCGACGGAACCGAGCGGTGTAGGTAATTTCTCCACAGCCTAACCCGACAACAATGACAATCGACTCCAAGTGCCTTACATTACTGCGCAACAGCAGCCCTTCTTCTCGGCCTGCTCATCCGTCTCGAATGTTGTCTTCTGGGGGCCGGCGCCGTTTGAGCCAGGGGCGCCCGTGTATGATGACATTTCCTTGTTATATCTGCGGATTTCTCGTACAATGTCGTAGAAGGCGTTGTCGACATTGATGCGGGACTTGGCTGATGTCTCGATGAATTTGCAGCCAAAGTTTCGCGCCAGGGTTTGGCCCTCTGAAGACAAGCGTGTTAGCTAAAGGGGGGGGGGGGGGAACAATATCAAGAAGAGAGAGACGGGCGGCGCGTACCTTGTGTCGACACTTGCCTCTCGCCATCGAGATCGCACTTGTTACCGACGACAATCATGGGAAAGTAGTCCTTGTCCTTGACTCTGAGGATTTGCTGCTGGAATGTCATGATCTCCTCGAAGCTTTGCCTGTCGGTTATCGAGTAGACGAGCAAGAAGCCCTCTCCTGTGCGCATGTACTGCTCGCGCATGGCCGAGTACTCCTCCTGTCCAGCTGTGTCGAGCACGTCGAGCAGCGCAACCTCATCGTCAATGACGCACTGCTTGCGGTACGAGTCTGGGCCATGTTAGTGTGTGTTTCGGGCTTGGGAGGCGGCGCACAGGGGATGGTCACTCACCCTCAATGGTTGGGTCGTACTCGTCAACGAAGTGGCTCTGGATCAGCTGGATGGTCAAACACGACTTTCCAACACCACCGCCACCGACCACGACCAGCTTGTATTCTCGAAGAAACTGGAGCAGGTTAGCGGACGCGCGGATGCAAAAGGGGGGAGAAGCGAGGGGGAAGACGAACCTTGGATGCCATTGTGAAGGAAGAAGAAGAGATGCCGGACGATGCTGAAGACGTCGGGCAATGGGTATATTAGATTTTAGCAAGTACGAGGCCGAGCTCAGTGACGGGTAACGGGGCCAGGGTGGAAGAGGCGGAAACAAGGAGCGACGTGCTCTCGAGATGCAAGCGAGAGGAGATGGACACGCAGGCGTGTGGCGATACGACGCGCGGTGGACGTGGTGGTTGGGAGAGGGAGGAAGGGAAGGAGTGGTCCGGGGGGTTGGCGGTGGCAAGCGAAGGAAGAGGAGGAGTCGCGACAGAGAAGGAACAGGAGAACAGAGCGGAGCTGGGCAGAAGCGGGCTGGGCAAGACAGGGTTGGGTAGGGTAGGGCAGGGAAGGGTAGGGTAGAGTAGGGTAGGTAGGGCAGGGCAGAGGGAGCAGGGCAGTAGTAGCGGTAGCGGTAGCAGCAGTAGTAGCAGCAGGCAGGCAGCTTGAGCAGCTTGAGCAGCAGCAACAGCGTGTAGCGGCGGCGGCGGCAGCAGAGCAGAGCGAGCGTCAAGGGCAGCTTGGAGCAGCGGCTTGAGCAGTTTGAGCAGCTTGAGCAGCACACTAGGTCCGTCTGGGGCGGCGTGAGCAAGGGAGCGGCTTTGGCAGCCAGGACAGGACATGCACAAGGCCTCTGACTGGCGCCCCCGTTAGCGCTGCTGCCCTGTGCTGTGTGCTGTGTGCTGTGTGCCCGCGCCCACACCACCACCACGACCGCTTCCCAGTCCCAGACAGTCCCAGACAGTCCCAGAGCCACCCAGAGCCACCCAGAGCCACCGCCAGCTCCATGACGCCGTCGCCGCCGCCGACGCCGCCGACGCCCCCCATGAACAGGACCCGTCGCCCGTCTGTGTGTCCCCACCAGCCTCTACCACCTTACTTATGCGCCCGCTGCAAGGCGAGTAGGCCCGGCGTCTGCATGCAGCAGCCCTCGTCCTGTCCATGGCCTCCGCTGCCGTAGAGCATGCACACCACCTGTGAACACACGCACATATACCTACACTACGCACTACACCTACTTACTTACACCCGCCCGTACCACACCACTCCACTCCACGCCCTGGCCCTGCCTCGTCACCACTCACTGTGCACTACCACCCTCGCGCCCACGCCGCCCCAAAAGCAAGCCAAGCAAAAGAGGCCAAAAGCGGCGTGTCGTGGAGATACAGGCGCCACATCGACGGGCTGCCTCCGATGCTTCCATGCGATCCCAGCGCCCAAAACCATACGGCACGGGGTCCATGATGTCCTCGCGCGAACCACTACTGTGCACCAGGGGGGGTTCGGCAAGATAGGGAAAACAGCAAGCGATGCCGCAAACGACATCGACTGTGTCGCTCTGGCGTGCTTGCATTTGCTTGCTCCTCGTCGGCTGTGTACATCCACCATGCATCCACACATATCCCCCTCTTTCTGTCCATGCCATGCCCACCCTTCAACCCCATCTCTGCACCCATAGCCGCGGGCGCGACCATGCACCTCGGCGGCGGGTACCACAGCAGAAGCGGCAGAGCGGGGGTGCCAGGAACCAACCACTCGGCAGTCAGCACTACCCACGCCCAAAACAAGCTGCCCACGTGAGCCCCGCCCACCACACACATCCTTTACTACACATGTAACATTCTCCATACACACTGCGCTGCTCGTCACGGTAATGCCATCCCCCTTGCCCCCTTCTATCCCTCCCTCATCACCCCGCCTCCCCCATGTGCCAGTGCCAATGCCAGGGTCTGCTGCCCCCGTGTGTGTGTGTGTGTGTGTGTGTGTGTGTGTGTGTGGCGGTTAGGGCTTCCATCTGCCTTCGAGAAGGTGCCTAGCTGCCAGCTGCTTCCTACCACGACTACTCATTAACATTCCTCCACAAGTCCCTGCATCAGCCCATCCCTGGGTTGCGCTATATATATATATATATATAAATATATAAATATACACGTACATACTCCATGCCATGTATTTACATACTACACGTTGACTACGTTGACGACTACTATGCACCTCCTCCACATCACCGTCTACGAGTCCTTGTCCGACGTCTCACCGTCGTCCTCGCCCTCTACACTGACCCGCCTGCCTTCAACTGCCTTTTCCACCTCCGGTACCAGGCTCTCCATAAACTCCCGATCCCGGCCAACGAGCGTCACTGTATTGCGATCCTTACCCCATCTCGGATAGCTGCCAACTTTGACCCCCCTTGGCTCCGCCCTCGCTGCAAGTTCCGTCAGGTATCCCGCAACGGTGCTTTCAGCCAGTGGCGTCGAAATCAGAATGCGCAATACCCCTTTGCCCTCCGGGTCCGTCAGACGCGGCAGGATGCGGGGCTTCAGTCCGTCCAACAAGGCTTCAAAAAGTCGCGGCACACCAGGCAGAATGTGGACATTGCCATTAACCACGCTAACTGGCACCCACAGCGAATCATCAATAAAGACTACTTGATCTTCATCCGCCAACGACTCGTCAATCGGCAGCTGAACCATGCGCTTCTTAGCCGTCAGCGCAGGTGAATCCACATTCCAGTCAAAGCCGGGCTGTGACTTGTGCGGCTTCGAAAGACGCTTCATCCGCTCAAACGCCGGTTCGTGCAGCTTCAACTGCAAGCCAAACGCCTTCGCTATCGACTGGTACGTGATGTCGTCGTGACTGGACCCTCGTTAGCCCATTGGCTGCATGTGCATGGTGTAGCGAGGGCGCTTTCTACTCACGTGGGCCCAATGCCACCACTCGTCACCACCATATCATAGTTCTTCGACATGCGTCGGACGGCCTCAACAATCTCGCCCTCGTCATCCGCAATCACCTCGACTCTGCGCAGATTGATGCCCAGCGAAAAACACCACTTTGCAAAATATGCCTGAACATCATTAGCCACAATACCACCACGTCGATCCGCCCCTAGCATACCGAGTTTGTATCTACAGTCTAGGTTTCACGTCAGCTGCTGTGAACCATAAATATCTCCCTCTCTACAAACCTTTCCTCCCAGTACTTCATCCCCTATGATCAGGCATCCCGCCGTGTGGATTAGACTCTTTTGCTGTGGTGCAGCCATGACTGATGACGTTATCGATTGGCCAAAAGAAGCCGCAGGCCGGTGCGCAAAGTTGGGTAATGGACGAGACAGCTGTCTAGCAACCTGATTGAGTCGTCCAAACATGAATCAAGCAACAAGTCTCAACACAGCAAAGTATAAACAGCGAGGTGCATGAGAAAGAAGGACTCGAGCAAAGGACAAGGTGCATGATGGACATGATGGCTACATGGAGCTACCCGACTAGCGCCATTCTCCGATTCCCCCCCGCCCTACCCCACCAACAAGGGCCACCATCAGTCTCACACCACCTACAAACATTACCAAACTCTAGCATTCTTCCCGCTTGTCGTGTAACATCATGGTAAGTGCTCTTGCCGCTATACACGCCGCCAAGCTAGACAGTTGACTAACCCTTCGGCCAGTCTTCGGAAGCACGACTCTACACCTTCTCAGACGAGACCAAGACCAAGCTACGAAAATTCCGACTCGGCACAAGTCGAGCCAAAGACGCACAAGCTGTCATCTGTATGCCCAAGTGACCTTTCCATCATGTCTACTACAAGTGCCTTGCCGCAGAGCACTACTACCGAGGCCGCCACACGGGCTTGCTATACCATACTTTGGCGCTGACGCCTCTGCGCGCCAGACGAGATCGATAAGAAGACACTCGAGATACGACCGGTAGATGGCGAGGTCTACTCAGACGTCCAGTCCCTCGCAGATGAGCTTCCCGACCATGCTCCCCGATTCGTGCTCCTAAGCTACCCGTTGACACTCGTATGCCCACCATTGACACGACTCACTAAAATAAACCACTGAAACAAACAGAACTCTGGACGATTGTCCGTGCCGTACGTCATGCTCTACTACCTTCCCATAACGTGCAACAGCGAGGTCAAGATGTTGTATGCGGGTGCAAAGGAGCTCATGCGGAACACAAGTGAAGTTGGCCGCATCATTGAAATTGATAGTGCCGAGGATCTGGAAGAGATTGAAGAGAAGCTCAAGGAGCAGGCATAGATTGCAGATCAACTACCCATTGGATGGCTTGAAAAGACACGACGTACCTGCGAAAAGACTACTCGACTACGCTTCTCGCACTACAATCCAAGACTCGATGGACCACCCACATGGCCAACATGTGAAAGAATTCATCGTATCATCAATGCCCCCGTCTGCTTGCCATTATCAGCTTTGAAGTTATTGCACTAATACCGCTCCCACTAAACAGATAGAGTGGATACCCCCACGAGCAGTCTTCTCAGCTCACGAACGCACCAGCCCAGCATGACCACCTCGACTGGTTTGTCAGCCGATCGAGACACGCGAATAGGATGTACAAATCATGAAACATATCGGAGCACATGGCATGAATCCATGCGGTAAAGTCGTTGACGATTGGCACCATATCTTGTAGCCTTGCACCCGCTTCTGACGCACACGCCTTCGGCTCAGCGGCTTCTAAGGCCACTTTATGCTAACACTATGGCGGCTTCAGGGATGTTGTCTCTATAGCGCGGAGATTTCGTTGCGGCTATGGTCGGAGGAATAGCAACTTGCGTCTTTGGTGCACGGTGCCCATTCACCTCGCTGCTCCTGCCCCCTTTTTTGGCGTGCTCTCCCGCTCTACCAATAATGATGCTACCCCACAGGTTCTCGATTTTGCACTTGCACTGCATCAGGGCCCAATGGCAGAAACGTAATTTCCTGGAAGCCTTCTTCCCGCGATATTTTTCCAGGGCTTCCATGGCTTGTCGCGAGCTTGTTCCCTCTGCAGTGGAGCACTTGTTAGGTTACTTGCATTGCGTGGCCTGACCGACGGATGATATCATCATATACGAGCAGCACAGAAACATGATTTTCCTTTTGGTTGCTGACCTACTTTCAAGATTATTTACGTCATTCGGTCAATTAGGGAAAAAAACGTGTGTTTCACATAGAGCCCCACAAAATATTCCCAGAGCCCACTTTTCCTCGGCTAAAGGGGGAAAGGGAAAGAAGCGTGCAAAGATGGACACGAGGATGTTCTAATGCGATCGCCGCCCCAAAAGCTGTTCATTTCCCAGTGACATGGGCGACGGGTGGAAAGACAAGGGTCGGAGCTTAATCACCTCTTTAGGTGTCTTTTTTGGCACAGACTGCAAGTCATAGAAAGGGTGGGAGGGGAGGTGATGTGATGAAAAAGGGTTCAGGGATTCAAGTTATATGCACTACTACTATTAATCACTTTACCCGACCACCACCCCTTTTAGCAATTCACATAGTAAGTATATCGAACCATTTGATCAAAAAACCCCTGTGTGTATTCGAATGAAGCCATCATTTTCTTTGTTTTTACACTACTCCTCGGCACACCTACCCACCAATCACAAATGAAATTTCTCAATCTCATCCACATATAGGCCCCCCCCTTCACGCACCAACGATTGCTAAACTGCCGTGCCTGATCAAATCCTCTCCACATTTCACATACCGTAATCGGAAATTTCCCCAAGCGATGACACTACTTGCTTACTTTTTGCTTATCTCTTCTTTTCTCTCTCTCTCTCTCTCTCTCTCTCTCTATATCTCTCTTTTCTTTTCTTTTCCCCGACTTTTCTCTCCCTATGAATCGCCCATAAAGTCTACGCTATAACCTTTCCCCATACTCACCTCACCTATTGTGATATGCTCTGTTTTATCATCTAATAGTTGAAAAAATTACGAGCTTATATATATAGTATGCGGATGATAATTAACGTTAATAAGCGTTTGAATAGTTCAATAAGTAATGTTTAATTTGTGTGTCTTTGCGGCTGGTGTGCATGGACGTCTTCCCCCCCGTCCATTCCCCCCCCCCCCTTTTTTTTTCTGGTCTCTTGACTTTTGAAGGGATGACTGGTTTGGGCGAGGATTGTAGGATTGGGAATAGGGGGGTATATGTTGTTGCGTATAGGGTGAGGGGATGTATGTGTGTATGTGCGTGATTGAGGAGAGACATGTAGGTGTGGAGAGTTTCTCGTGTTGAGGTGTTTGGGGTTGAGTGGTGATGCCAGTGCTGGTGCTGGGGAGCTATGGGACGGCGGTGCATTATTGTTGCAATGGGCTTTGAGATGCTTGAGCTTAGATTGTATAGAGCTTTGAGCAAGTGTTTGTGTGACTTGAGTGGTGTTCTTGGGGTGTCTTCGCTTTGAGTTCGGTATCATGTAGATTGGTTGGGTGAGTGGATTAATTTCTCTCTGGAATTTCTGTACGCGGGTGTGGTAGACACACAATATGTACGCGTCAAGTCTTCTCATCGCGTTGTTGAGAGAGAGAGAGACTGAGGTTTTAGCTTCTCTATCGCGTTTGTATCACTTTGGTGCGATGATTGCTGCGTGTTACCGTGTTCTTTCTAATTGTTTTACGCTCCGAATAGTGTAAGCAAGAGAGACTTTATCCAAGACACCTCATGCCCCAGATTACATGGATAAAGTTGAAAATATCATGCTGACGACCATGCTCCTATGTAATAGCGGTATCTCAAATCTGTAGCAAATTCAGGGTATACAAAAATAGTAGCTCATCAGTTCTGCCATCCAACACCAACCTATCATTCCATAAACACAAAATAATCAAAACAGCATATACACCGCCAAAAGCAACACTTCACTCCCTCACTTTCCTCTTCTTCTCTCTATCCCACTCCTTTTGCTCCTTCAAAAACGCTTCCTTCTTCATCTGATACCCCTCATGCGCCTTTGCCCTCTCCCACACCTCCCTAAACACCTCACTCGCCTCCAACTTCTCCTTCATCCCCGTGTGCCCCGTACTCTTCTCCAACTCCTGTCCTGTCTTTTTATCATACTTCCTACCCCCAGCATGATTCGCATACCTCTTCGCACGCGTCATGCCCATTTGCAGGAACTTGCGCGCCATGTCCATGCCAATAAAGTCATTTTCGTCGTTGTAGTGTAGGAACTTGGTGTAGATTGCGCAAGAGGATTGGCGCGCGATGGAAGGGGTTTTGAAGCGCCAGAGAGGTAGGATAGAGGATTTGTAGGGCTCGAAGGTTAGGACGCCGGTCTCGCCGCGGCCGATGCGGTAGGTCATGCGTTGGGCTTTGGTGAGGCGTTCGGTAGGCATTTTGATTGTTTACTTAGCGAGGGTTGTAGTCTTTTGGAGGATATATAGACAGCCATATTGGAAAGTTGAAATGGGTGTTGGTGAGGTGTTGTCGTCTGTCTCTGATGACGTAGTGCGTTCACGCTATGCGACGCGCCATCACGTTTCCTTTGTCACGCGTTGCCATGTGGTGTCCGCGGGCTAGGCCTCGGTCTTGGTGCGATCGGTGCCGTTATGTGTACATCTAGTGATTGACGTGCTATCCCAAGAATTGTGCATACTAGTCAAGTAGTGTCCGTTGGGTTGACACGCAATAGGGTTTGATATCCTCTTACTTATATACATTGTAACGAAGCCGTTTTTTCTAATTTCGTGGTTTCTGCACATAACTTGCAGTGGTATAGTTGCTCATTGAGTGAGGTATGTGACATTCACCAATTCCTTCACACTCCGTTCTTATGGCGCACTGACATGCCCAATCCTATGACTGTTTTTTCTCCACCATCCCATTATTGATCTCCAGTCTTCCCCCATGGCCTACATATCGCCTTCTCTACCCTCTGCACAATTGACGGCTGCTGTTCTTTCTGGTCTTCCTCGTGGACGCCCAAGACCTGGCCAATCAGCCCGCCAGGCTTAGGGACGGGACATTCGCGCTTGGCCGCCAGCTTCTCCTCAATCAGCTGCCTCCTCCTCCTCCTTTCTTCACTCAAGTTGTCTTCATTGACCTCACCATCGGATATTCTCCGTCTCCGTCGCATTCTGTTTTCTCCTGTGGGGTCTGCTGAGTCGGCAAGTGTGCGCGGGTCGACGGGACATGGCAAGATGTGTGGAGCTGCGACGACGAGGAATGAAATCATCAGAGTCGATGTAAAGAGTGAAGTCGTCATGCGCGACCGTGGGTGGAGGTGAGGAGGCATGTTTGGTGGGTGGTGTGCAAATTAGAGAGCGAATTGCAGAGGCATTGAGGGGCTTGGTGGGCTGTCAACAGCGTCGCAGTGATTGACAAGTAGCAAGAGAGGCGACAAGAGGCCAATTGAAGTGCCTCGAGCAAGCGTAGACGTCGGGGGAGTGGTGGGCGCGGGGTTACTAGTGATGAATGACTTTTGGTGGAGGGAAGGTCCAAGGCCGAGCTACTAGCTGCACGGCTCAACGCTGATCCCTGCATGTCGGAACACCCGCCGTGGATCTTATACACGATACCACCAGCCCACCATTATGCGCCTATACAGCTACTAAACAGCTTCAAATTAACATACAAGTACCATTCTTACACGAAGAAGCCTACACGAGAATCTCTAGCACCACACAATCCTCTTGGCTACACGATAGCCACGCGCCACACGCGTTCCGCCATCAGCGATAGCACCCGCCCCCACCGAATTGTTAGAGATATAGCTTTGCAAATACCCACACGTTGCGCCCGTTGTCCCAATATCCCTACTTTTGCTTCTCAAGACACCCCTGCGTGCGCTCATAGCGCAGAGCTGTCACCATGAGCGCTGGCGGTAGCGACCTCGACAAGTACGACCAGCCACTGAGCCTCGGCCTGTGCAGGCAGAGTACGGTACTGACAGCGATTATAGAGCCATTCAGCAACTCCGCGCATGTCGCCCTATCCCTGAGAACCAAGTTCGAGAGCTATGCTACAAGGCACGTGAGTTGCTTATTGAGGAGGGCAATGTAGTGGCAGTCGATGCGCCAGTAACGGTAGGTAGCTTGCCAACTTCTTCCGTCGGTACGGCTAACCTTATCATGTCGACAGATATGTGGCGATATTCACGGACAGTTCCACGATCTCATGGAGTTATTCCGTGTTGGTGGAGACGTACCAGACACAAACTATCTCTTCATGGGTACGGACGAGCGTTCTCTATAGCATCAATAGTGCCGTGACTAAACAACTTGCAGGTGACTTCGTCGACCGCGGCTTTTACTCCCTCGAATCCTTCCTCCTACTTCTGTGCCTCAAAGTCCGATATCCAGACCGAATAACACTCATTAGAGGCAACCACGAATCGAGACAAATAACAACAGTGTATGGTTTCTACGATGAGTGCCTGCGGAAATATGGAAGCGCAAACGTCTGGAGGTACGGTGCCAAGCTGAAGTTTTTCTAGACTGGCAGTTGACATGTAACAGATACTGCTGTGAAGTCTTCGACTACCTCGCTCTTGGAGCTCTTGTCCAAGGCGCTGCGACGTCCCTCCAAGCCACTGATGGGCCCATTGCAGAGTCCAGCAACGCGGAAAATATGCCAGATATTGACCAAGATATTGAGATTGAGACTTTGAACGCAAGTGGTGAGGTCATGTACCGCTACGCTCGCAACTCAGACTCCCACTCGAGCGCCGCGTCGCAAATGAGCGGGAATTTAGGTTCGTCGTCACCCGTCTCTCAAACTCCCGGACGCGTTGGCCCTGCAGGTACAGGCGCAACGTCCTCAGCCAACGGTTCGGCGCGCAACGATACAGGTGCTATCCTCTGTGTACACGGCGGTTTATCACCCCTCGTTGACTCAGTCGATAAGATCCGACTACTTGATCGAAAACAGGAAGTGCCCCACGAGGGGGCCATGTGCGACCTTCTTTGGTCTGATCCTGACGAGATAGATGGTTGGGGTCTATCACCGCGTGGTGCAGGTTTTTTGTTTGGCGCAGACATTGTCAAGACTTTCAACCACAAGAACGATCTCAGTCTTATCGCAAGAGCCCACCAACTCGTCATGGAGGGATTCAAGGAGATGTTTGATTCGACCATTGTAACGGTTTGGTCAGCGCCCAACTACTGCTACCGCTGCGGTAATGTAGCCGCCATCCTTGAGCTAGGCGAGGACGGTTCCAACGCCGGCTACCAGAGGAGATCAAACGGAGATAGAGGCGGAGGTGGCGGAGGCTGGGTTCTCGGCTCCAACGCTGGGCCCAATGGCGAGAGGCGCTTGAGTAATATGCTCAACGACAACTTCCAGAAGAACAGAGATGGTCCAGGACGAAGATATCGCGTTTTTGAAGCTGCACCCCAAGACTCGAGAGGTATGCCGGCGAAGAAGCCCGTCGCCGACTACTTCCTCTAGGACAGGCAAGAAATGGATGCTGCCGTAGAGAAGGCAAAAATCAGGGACTTGGGCTTGATGGGCGGTCTACTCACCAACGGCGTTGTGCGCAGATCGCACAACGAGACTTCCGAGTATTTTCTGTAGTAGAAGAATCAAGGGCGTCTGGAGTTTTATTGTAGCGCAATTGGATTAGTGGTATCAGGGCGCGTTGTAGTGGATCAAAAGAAGTAGGCATTGTCATTATGGATACCCGAATCAACGAAATGAACGGATCATTAGTCTCTACAACCTATTTCTAACACCCAGCATACACCCGAGCATTTGCCGGCAAGATTAAAAAGATAGAGATTAGTACGAGTTCGTTGTACGCGGCTCTTCAGACACCAAAAAATAACCCACAAAAACATACGACAGCGGGGATTCGCCAGTGGTCACCCACCTGACTACTAACTCGCCGGTAAACTGCTTAACAAGTGAAGAGCGAACGGGTTTCAGTGATCCAGTTTCCTATGATCGTATGTGCTTGAGTTGTGGAAATGTGAAACCCATATCGTCAGTGCGGACGGTGTTGTCTTGTGCCCGTGCAATTCAATCACCCATTTGCAATTGCGAATAACATCTTCAATTATCGCACTTCCAAAAGAGAAAGACAGTAAAGGTTTTCAATACGTTCTCTAAACAGCCCATTGACTACGCTTCCTCAAGTTCGGTCCATATCGGTAAAGCACATACGGAATAGGCACAGTGAGTATCCCAAGGCATCCCAGCAACGTCAAAGTCCAGTGCGTTCCTAGGTTCCTATACATTGGTATGCCGACCACTGTCATGCCACCCGCTGCAATGTACCTGGTGAGCGCATTAAAAGTAAGCGCTGAGGCAGCGTACGCCTCGTAACTATCGATGATGTACATATAAGCAGACATGAAGATGCAAATGTTGCTGAATCCGACAAGGACTGATGCTACGAGAGGTGACCATATCGAGATGGAATCCTGATTTGCTAGTTAGAAAGGCTACAAGGTGTGTAAGTGGTGATGCTTACGTAGTCAGTCCAGCCCATCCAGAAGAGGCCGATGGGTAGTGCGGGTGCCCCTACCATGGCAAAGAACAACCTCGATTCTCGGTGGACCAGTTTGCCGGATCCGTCGTCTCCGTCTTGCTTGAGTTGGCGGAGGGTCCGGCGGTAGGCGAGTGGGACTAAGATTGCTGAGAGCATGATTCCGATGAAGAGGCCCATGAAGCAGATGTTGGAGAGACCTTCATTAATGCCATAGGTTTCTGCGAAGATGAAGGGGTAACTGTTGGAAAGTTAGCGTTACTCGAGACTCCTAACTAAAGCCTTAGAAGATACTTACCCATCCAGGAAAGTGAACAAGATTATATACACAATCGTCAAGTACAGTGTGAAGGCTACAACGATCGGTTGTGTGGAGAGGAGGAATGGTCGCAAGAAGCTCTTGGACATAAGTTCTCTTGGTGAGGCATGCGATGCTTCTGCTGCAGTCATAAATCGCTCGTTTCCTGTAAGCTTGCGGAAACAGGCTGCTTTGTAGTGCAGGATTCGCGGGGCGAAGGATTCTTTTTTGAGAAGTAGGATAAGGGTGAACGTTGCGCCGACCAAGATCAGTGTTATCCACTCAGCCCATCTCCAATCGACAGATGGGTCGTAGCCAACATACGCACCTATGACGGGTCCTATTTATCAATCATGTTAGTAAAAGCTCTAAGATACATTCTGTGAATTAGACATGAGTATCAAAGGACTTACCAAAAACTGGTCCACCAAATGCGGGAATGGCATACAACGGGAGTGCAAACGTCTTTTCAATTGGATCCCACATATCCCCTACTGTCCCACCCGCTACTGTGAGCGGAGCACTGGCGGAGAATCCAGCCAGAAACCGGAAAACAAGTTGAGCGCCAAAGTTTGGCGCCAAAGCTGCGCCCAGGATCCAGCATCCAAAGATGAATAGCGAAACAAGGTAAACGAGATATCGTCCTAGGAGCTCAGAAAGCGGACTAAGCAGCAACGCTCCCAATCCCATTCCAACCAAAAACAGTGCAGTAGCCAGCGATTCCGCCACCTCCGAGACCCCAAACTCAGCAGTCGCACTAGTCAAGACAGCGGAGTCGATCGAGGAGGCGATAGTCGCCACGAACGCAACGAGGCAAACAAGCATGGTAGCGCCCACACGGTGGATCGTAGACCACTTCTTTGGATTAAACGGGTCATCAGGACCAGCCCAATCAACCTGATAGTACCTCCTCCCATTGTAATCCTGCATCAATGTGACACCTGGTATCTGCGTGAACGGTTCGCCTTTTGCCTCGAGACCTCCAGATTCCTGTTTTTCCTGTTCTTCTGGCGTCCTCGGAACATGGACGGAGAATTCGTCGGAGGAGTCGGTTATACGTGAGAGTTCTTGCTTGACATGGTGCTGGATAGCTCGGCGTTGGAGGAAAAATGCCATGGCGAAAAAAAGGCACCTCTCAAAACTCTCAAGAAAGAAGGAATGGAAAGAACAAGATTCTTTTTATGAATAGTTGGAAAAAAGATCCATTACTAGATAGATATTCTCCACTCAATCCTCAGTTCCCCGAGAAAAAATCGAAACTCCGTGGCGTATCCGAAACCACCCCTTAGAGGCTTTACCCACTGCTCTACCTTCATGGCGATATGGACTCGCTTGCGCTTAAAAATGGGTCCTTATCGGAAAAGTGGTGATGACAAAATGGCATAGCGGGTCTTGGAATTATGGGTTTTTGTGGCTTGTGGGTTGAAGCTTGGACCCTATATGACGATAAGTACATGCTTTCCTCCGAAAAGGCAACACGTGTGGGAGAGGACAGAATTAGTGGTGGGTATAGCTTATTTCCGGGAGTATATAAGTGGGTATTGTTTTGAGCCGCATGGTCACTATTGACTTGTATGAACGGTTACGGTTGTGAGAAAGAAGAATAGTAAGAGTATGTGGGGCACTGAAAAGACTTTGCATCCGTAAGGTTTCACCGCCACACATCAACCACAGAAAGGATGAATATGTAGGTAAAAGATAGTATGACTTGGCCAGCAATGTATAGCCAGGAATGCCCGTGGAATTAATCAATTACCAAGTCGATACCCGATCAGTCATCGCAAGCCCATTACCAGAGCTCAAGAATCTCCAACTAAGCCCTCTCCGCGTCCGCAGTCTTCTCGGCAAGAAATTCTGCGTCAGACTGGTACTCGCCTTCAGGAAGCTTATCAAGGCTCTCGTCTTCCTTGTCTAGCGATCTAAAAGTCCACGTAAACCCAATATAACCAAGGAACGTAAGAACAGCAATGCCCGTATACAACCATACCAGCAGTGGGTCACCAGCCAAAGGCACAAAGGCCTGCGCAATGGCAGATGAAAACGCGTGAGTGAACCAGAACATACCCGTCACGAACGATCGCATGTTCCTGGGTGCCTTAGTGTACGCGTATTCCACTCCAGTAATGGCGGCGAAAATTTCGGAAAAGGCGATGAGGACATATGCGGGGACTTGAGCCCAAACTGATAGGTCTGGGGGCACGTTACAGCTGCTTGCTTTTTTACCACAAGGCGACTTTACGTAGATGAAATGTTGGGTGACTGCAGCGGCCACCATGGAAAGCAGCGCGCAAACGAAACCAGCTTGGATTTTCTTCAAGGGCGAGAATTTGATGCCCCAATCGGCGAGCTTGGGGTAGAGGACCTTATCGAATATCGGGATGAAGATTAGAAGAGTGATGGGGTTTAGGTTGTGGACAATGTCATTTGGCACGCCGTTGAGCTTCATGGTCGATGCCTGAGAAACCAAGTTACTGGTCCTAGATGGGAGAGACTGAAGTCAGCTCAGGTTTCATATACTACAATAGGGCTCAGGACGCACATTTGACTGTAAGGCAACCAAAAGGCGGGCAGCCAAAGGAACACCTCGCAGGCCTTGATACCACGTCGGACCTCTTCAACCCAGGCATCGTCAAACGTCATCCACGATGGCTTGTTGACCATTTTGCTCGGCTTTGCGCTGTCCCAAATATTTTGATCAGAGAAGTTCCTCCATGTGCGCATGGGATTTATTGAGAAACGGCCTTTCAACACCAACCCATACACTCTCAAGGATTTGAGGAGTACGTCGCCCTGTGGCGGCTTCTTGACATAGTGTTTGCTGAACATGACCATCAAGAGTGGACAGAATGCAAAAAGAATAGTTGGCAGCGTGAATGAAAGCCAGAATCCGACGTATTTTTCGGCGTACACTAAGAGAAAGGTTAGTAGCTATATTGTCACTGTCAAAATCAACTTACCCATGGAAACTTGACCAACCAATGCTCCCACATTGATCAAAAGGTAGTAGCGCATATAAATCCTGGAGTAAGTGATTCCCGGGTCGACAATGACGCGTTCTCCGTTTGGCTCAACGCGTATAGTCGCTCTCGGATGACTAGCCTCATATTGCTCCGCAATGAGCGGCGAGATACAACATTTGAACAGTCCAACACCCGCACCAAAAAGAATCAGACCCAGAATAAACGAGGCAAGAGCTCCGTTAGGGTTTGGTCCCATGACTTGAGTGATGGCGGCAATAATGATTAATATGTGTCCCAGCGTGGCAACGCAAATAGCCACGTAAATGGTCTTGAACTTGCCCAAGTACTCATCTGCTAGCCAGCCACCTAAACAGCGTATTTAGCATAGATATAGTGAGTTTTGAACGGAAATTCTTACCAACCAAAGGCATGATGTACGAAAAGAAGGTGTTGAATTGAGTCAAACCCGTACTAGCACGTTGTCCCATTCCTAACGCTCCAGGCTGACCACTACCAGCGGCCCCGGCTTCAGGGAATGGTCCAGTGGTAGGCAGTGGCTTTTGAATGAAATTCACAAAGACAGCGGTTGTTCCATAGTATGCAAAACGCTCACACATTTCAATAATTCCGATAATGTAAACTATCCATATCGTTAGAAATTAATTCGGGTGACGCAAGAATATATTTGGGGAGTGTGGATACTCATCCAGCTGACCTTTCCATACACACGGCGAAGTGTCGCCCACTCTTCATCGGTAGGATACTCCTCGCCATTGGGGCCGCGAAGACTCTCGGAAGTATTCACAAAGCCACCTTTCTTCTCAAAACCTGCAATTGCTCGCACGTCATCCTGAACGGCAGGGGTGGCTACCAGAGCGGCATCTACAATCTCCAAATTGGCACCGGTCGACATTTTGACGAGCGTGAGTGAACGGACCTGAGCTCTGCGCAAGGGGCCTGTTCAGATTATTTATGTCGGTCCTTGCGACATAATTCTTTCGCCTTGCGAGATGCCTCATTTAGTAAAGCCGTTAACAGCACGTCTCTATGTACCGAAGAAGCAGTCCGACATGTCAAATGCCCAGAGATAGGAATTAAAATAGAGAGCCAGATGGTTTCTCCAAAATAATCCTTGAACCCTAGCATACGACATTGTGTGTGTGATTGGTGCTGAGTAGTCTTGGACAACGGGTGTCCGCCTTGGCAAATGCAAGAGTGCTGAGCCAAGCGCAGAGTATCCAATTGCATGTGCCGTTTGGGTGCAAGAGTATAACTTGTCGCGTCACCTAGTAGCAGCCGAGAAACTCCCGATGTATGGCATTCTAACTACAAGTATTTCTTGATCAACATAGAAAGAGCCACCTTCCTTATCAAGTGCAGTCGACGCTCTGGGCGGAGGATACAAGTTTCAGACATGAATCTCTCGTCCCTCGAGTATTCAAAAGATGCTCTTTCGTGGTGTTATACTTTTTTGAGATTGCATGCGATCTGCCTTGCAGCAAAACTACCACATGGGAACCATACTGGCGTTGAGAGACGTGAGATGCGATATCGGAATGACGACATGTGACGTCTTGAGCAGACTTGGAATACCATAAAAAGATATAGAAAATAAGTTTCATGGGATTGTTAGTGGTTGGTTTGTGTTGCGATGCAGACGAAAAGATCGCCTGATTCTAGAGTGCCAATCCCAAGTACGTACCCCACTTTCTACTTTCAATGCCAATTATTGTATCAGGACACTAACCGAGAATTAAACATTAATGCAGGCAATTGACTGACTCATAGAAAGATGGTCTTGGATTTTAGCCAATACAAAACTCTCAACTGCGGAAAGAGATATGCAGAGACGCATTTGTTCACGCTTGTGTATGCTCCTACGTTACCATAAGATCTAACCTCATCTACGATCATCACAATGGGTCTTAGGTCAGCTCCATTCAGAAAACTGGCAGGAGAGTGAACCAAAGCTTGAGTGGCTGATAGACAGATGTAATCACCTCCGGCGTTAAACCAATATGTTCTCAGTAACGTGGGATTTATACCCGTGGGTATTTATATATGAATGGCATACCAAGACTATGTGCTTACATAGAATGATAGCGTCTAGCTTCTTTTTGAGCAAACCCATTCTTGTTCGTGGTAGATATGGCGACATGAGCGATGTCATCTTGCACGCAACCAATAATTGTTTTAACTGTACTACTTCAACTAAACTCGAGCAGATGTGATCTTTTTTCCCTTTGAAATTTCGTTCATATGGGAGAAACTAAACTTAAATTTCAGAGTCCCCCCACCCCTACTGCGATCTTTTGGGCTTTTCTAATTGTGCTAGGCTAGTCTCGAGGGGAAGGAAATGTTGGTGTTTGTCATGTGACCTGCAGACTCTGGCCAACCAACTTGACACGGGGCCCTCAAACACCTTACTCAGTGTGGGCTAGGCGAATGACAGTAGTAGTGCGCCTCGAGACTAAACTTTGTCATATTTCTTTATGCACAACGACCTCTTAGTGATCGCCGTTTGTAGCTAGGACTGTGACCATCGTATAAAAGCGACGCAACACCCTACCAACCCTACTCAACACTAGGTTGCGCTCCAATCCATATCCTAAATTGTTATCACCGACCCCTTTTACCGACATGGATCCCAAAGTACCTGCTAGCACGGATGTCAATGAACTCACACTCTTCATTGAGGCGGTATCTAATAAGCCTCTGGAAACCCGTCTTGCGCTCATCCGCGCTGCTTTGGCTGCAGGCTTCTCTCCCAACGAACTAGACCGTCGCCCTCGTGCCGAAGGTCGCGCATTGGATTGGGCGATTTGCGATGGTCGCTCTGTCGATTATGCTGTGCTCAAACAAAACCTTCCCGTTGTTGAACTGCTGCTTGAAGCCGGCGCCGACCCAAGGCTTCCTTCAAGGAATGGGTCCTCGCCGATTGACTCTTTGGAGGCCTGGTTTAAGCAATATGAGATCCATGGGAACACATGGGCAGCAGAGGATTTGGAGTTGAGACCGTTTTTTGAAAAGGCATTGGAGGCCATGAAGAAGGCGAGAGATGAGCTCGATGGTGAGTTTTGCACTGATGCCCTGTTGTGGGCTCATTATTTGTTCGCTAACTCAAGGTGCAACTAGCGAAAGATGCTGCTGAGGCTGCGGAGAAAGATAAGAAAGAGAGCTCGTTATCTGGCAGGCTGAAATTTTGGTGATGCGGTCTAAATACGATAGATCATGTTCTCAGGTTTATCATCATGCGAATGCTGTTCATTAGAGGATGTTTTTCTTTAAATATCCTCCAGACCCATAGATTCCAGGCACATCCATCAAAACCCTTTCAACTTACTTAAGAATACAATGCAAAACTAGCTCACGAGCTTCTAGAATCCATGAACGTACGAAATATATCCCAAACCGAACTCCTCAGTTGCCAAAGCTCATAGCTCATCCCTCTTTCGCTTTCCGTTGGCCTCTTTCGGAACGAAATCCCAGTTGGTACCAAAGTCCGGCATATCGAAATCTGATTCTGCTAGGACCTCTTCCTTTTTCTTAGTGCTCACCGACGTCAATGCTTCCAACAAAGAACCGTCATCTAAGTCGATTGCCCATATCATGGTTCTGCGATGGGTAACGATGTTAGCACAGCAATATGATAGGAGTGATGATTGGGCAAGGGAATTCAAAGATCAACTTACCCTCCCAAGCAACGCTGATTTGCATAGTCCAGCTTGATCTTCAGCGTTTCAGCGTCATCAAAGCTTGCCCACTGGTTACCGTCCCAGGTAACAATTTTCGCTGCCGCCTCGAGGTCATGCGAAACTGTTGCGCCATTCTCTATGATCTTGTTGATCTCAGCGGCTGATAACACGCCTGGAGTTCCAGTGCATTCACCACCCTTCGCACCCTCAGTGAATTCACAACCCGCACTCATGCAATTGGAATCCTTCATCGTAAAAGCTAAGTGTGAGGGTTAGCATAGGTAGAGGCAGATGATGGAGGTGGAAATTTACTTCGACCGTAGAAGCCTAGACCCATGACTACGCGAGCAGGGTTGATGTTGTTTCTCCAAAGAAGCTCAAGGCCTAGCTGAATTTCGGTAAGGTTGGTGTGTGCGAAAGCGTATGGGCCGATACTTTTGACTGTACTGTCCCAAACGCCGTCTGGATGATCCGATATCAGCATACTTCCCCCCATTGCAAGAGATGGAAACTGTCTTACGGATGTCATAAGTCATGATGTTGAACCAATCTACCCATGGCTCCAGCTTGATTATGTCGAAGCCTTTCATGTACCAGTAAGATGCTGGCTAAGGGAAATTTAGTTCCGTAGGCTGCTTAATTTGACGAGAAGTCAACTTACGAGTGTGAGTGTAAGGCCGTAGTATCGGCCACTGCCGTTGAGGTGGTTGCGCAGATTCTTCAAAAAGGTTACATAATTCTCAAAATCTTCCGGAATACCTCCACGGTCCTCTGCAACAGGGTATTCCCAGTCGATATCGACACCATCAAAGTTGTTGGCTTTCATGAAAGTCACTAGCGATTCGAAGAATGAAGCTTGTGCAGAAGTGGATTTCGCAAGGTCGGAGAAGGTGGTCCGGTATGGACCAGGATCATTCATGGCCCATCCACCGATAGCTACAGCAGACACAATCAGTAAGAGATTGAGCAGGAACTGGGTTGTACTGACCGATCCAGACTTGAAGGCCGGGCTGCCTTTCCTTCAGTTTGGTTACTCTCTTGTACATTTTGGCCGTCTCGGCATCCATGGCATCGATGCGGAATGTTGTTGGGTTGACGAGCGCAAATGCAAAGTTGATATGAGTGTATGCTCCAAGAGGGATTTCTTCCGGTGGCATAGCTTTTAATCTATTAGTATACCATGAATTAATGGAGTACAATGTTGCTTACTTCCGCATGGTCTTTGCATATTCCAGCCCTCGTAATAGCCTATGAGTTTCTCATCGGCAGTCCTCGTATTACATTGAGGCGAAGGTGTGACAACCCCATTACAAAAGTCTGAAGTCGTGCCACAAAAACCAAAGTCACTGCAGCACACGTTGAGAGGGCATGTTGAGGCATTGGACCACTGGGCTCCCCATCCAGGATCACATTCGCTTTTGTAGTCGCATGTGGAGATACAACCCTCACCGCAGAAGTCGGGGCCAAGTCCGCAAACAGCTTTGCCAGTCGTTGGGTCTCTATAACATTCATTAGTAAAGTGATACGTCTTTTTCCATGGTGGACTCACAGCGCTCCGCAGCATCCTATCTTGCAACCCTTTGTCTTGCTGCATGTATAGTCGTCGTCCTCGGCTGCTGCTTCAACACCACCTTGGAGAGCAAACGTGCGAAGGCTGGAGTTTTCTTGGGCCAGAACAGAAAAGAAGTTGATTGATCGCAATCCCAAACTAAGCAGCAATGCCCGTCTTGTAAACGACCCGACGACCATAGCTACAAAAAAGTTACACCGTACAGTAGTTCAAGACGCTGGTTTGTTTTCCATAAACTACGAAAGAAAGAGTGACAATGGATCTCTACATCAACGACGAGGGGACTTCGTTGAGCTTGATTCACAACCATTGCAACTGCAAGCTCGGGCCCAGGCAATAATGGTCGATCCAATTTCAAAATGTTACTAAGAAAAAAACGCTCCTTGCATTCCCCTGAAGGTAGTATCGGCTAGTTCGCGGATGATCACGTCCCTTACAGCATGGATGCAGTGGCAAGCCGAAATTAGTGGAGAGTATGTTCAGTCTGTTCTTAGTCTAGCACCCGAGCTAGCCTATCATGGCTTGATATCAATTACTGGGATGAACAGAAGGCCTTAATGTGGACCCGGCAGCCAGGAATTCTTCGGCACCTACATGCACGCTTGGTGGCCTGAATACCAAGTCTTCATAAAACGTCCGTTATCTGGGGCGGCCTTAAGGCGTTGGGGTCCAAAATGCTAGTGAATCGGCCCGCGCACTGATAGCCCTCGTGCGAACATCGACTCAACTAGCCTATTCTGTCGTATTAATATCGTAATTTACACTTAGCGTAGCCCCTGCATGAAAATTGTATCCTGGTATACTAACTCCATAGCTACTCGGCTTGCAATCATTGCCGTTTTGGTTGTTTTAGTGCATACACTACATGCTAGGTTGCTCCGCAGAACTGCAGCCCAAGGCGTGCCATCGGTGGATACTCAGTTTACAGCTCGGGAGGAACCTTCTTCTAGTCCACCTAAGGCTGCCAGCAGGGGTGAGGATATTTCGAGCACGTCTGGACTGATGGCAGGGGACGGTCATCATTAAACAGAATGCATAGTCCGAGGCTACGGTATCACTGAACTTGCCTGGAAGAACTTGGCATTTTGGTGGCACGAGGCTTCCCCATCTCAGCGTCAAATTCATACCAGCTCACACCTGAGCTTTTGAGTAATTGACGACATACTCACACATCTTCGCCATGGTTACCGTGTCTTTCTGTCGGGGCTTCGTTGCCGCGTCGATTTTTTTCAAGTTCAGTAATGCCCAAACGAGCAGTCCCACAGGCCCTACACACCCCAACATTGCCAAAAACTGCAATGCTTTCCATACTGTCGTCAGCGGCGATGGATGCTGGGCAGTGGAAACCAAATATGGAATCTCGCACGCCGACTTCATCAAATGGAACCCTGATGTTTCTGATGACTGTTTGACCAACTTCTGGCTTGGTTCTTCATACTGCGTTGGCGTTGGTGCACTCCCGAGCTCTAGCATCAGGAGCAGCTCTGCGAGTGTGCCAGTCACAAGTTCCAGTATCAGGAGCGGCTCTTCCAGTGTGCCAGTCACGAGCGTGCGCAGCAGTACCATCAGCTCATCGAAGATTTCATCAATAAAGTCTTCCAGCACACGAAAGACCGTTACTCCTACTGCCCCGTACTCTATTCGAGAGCCAGTACACACATGGAACATCTCAAGCACGACGGTGGAGACTACCTTTCCACCGAAGAAGACACAAGCAGGACAAGTTTCGTACTGCAACAACTGGCACTTGGTATCGGCTGGAGAAACATGTCAGCAAATTGTTGGCGCAGCTACTCGGGCAACGATGGCACAGTTGTAAGTCAAACCCCTGCCTTGATGTTGATTTTAGGAAGAAAACTGACCGCTGACGCTATTTAGTCTTGAGTGGAACCCAGCTCTAGATAGCGACTGCTCTGGACTCTATGATGGCTGGTGGGTGTGTATTGGCATCCAGCCGCAGTCCATGACGGTGACGTTCGACTATACCATTACTGCTGCCCCTGTAGAGGTTCCCGAGCCCACAGCATATACGCCAACAACATACCAAGATGCAAACTCCAGTTTTGTGGCTTCGCCAACCCAAGCGGGCCTTGCCTCCAACTGCAAGGCTTTTCATCAAGCAAAAGATGTAAGCATCCAGTATCCCTAGCGGGTAGATTTACTGACCAAATGTGCTATAAAGGGAGAAACTTGCAGGCAGGTACTTCAGTATGGTCTCATTTCGCAACAACAGTTCTTTGCTTGGAATCCTGCGCTGAATGGAAACTGCGATGGCTTGTGGTTGAACTACTACTATTGTGTGGTAGCTGGCGACTCTCTACCTGCGCCGCCCGTAGAAACAAAACGGCCTTCTTCGGTCCCCCAGAACCAAATCAGTACCTGCAATATATGGTACAAAGCAGATGGCTCTGAGACGTGTGACGAGATTGTAAGCATGTATGGTCGGTTCTCGAAAAACGACTTCATCAAATGGAACCCTACTGTCGGAACAAACTGTGGGGGCATAGTTGCAAACCAGTATCTCTGCATCGGTATCCCTGGAACACCGACTACTCGTACAACTGGTGTACCGAGTACTACTGCTCCCCCCTCTGAAATGCCGACACAAAGTGGCATGGTGGAAAACTGTAGTGACTTCTGGCTCGTTTCTCGGTAAGTTGTAACCCGTAGAGCGCACGATGTCTATACATGCTAATATGGTCACCAGATCGGATACATGCGCTTCAATTGCTGGAAGCAAGGGAACTACGGAGCTTCAGCTCTTAACCTGGAACCCAGCACTAGGTACCTCCAAATGTACGAACCTTACACCAAACTTTTACATCTGTGTTGGCGTCGCGAGCGGAAGTGTGATTACTACGAAACCCCCGACCTCCAACTCCGCATCATCCAGCAAACCTTCTTCTGCACCTGCTTCATCCAGTGCAACAACTTCCGCTGGTGGGGCCATCACGACGCCCTCTCCAACACAGGCGGGAATGGTTGCTGGCTGTAGAAGATTCTATCTCGTTCAGGCCGGCGATGGATGTTGGGCCATTGCCAACTCTGCTGGCATTGCTTTGAAGTAAGTTGGTGGATTCCGTTGTATAAAAGATTGTTTGCTAATATTGTTTTTCAGTGACTTCTACAAATGGAACCCAGGAGCTGGTTCTGATTGTTCGAATCTTTGGCTAGACACCTGGTACTGTATCGGAATAGCTGGGCCAGTCACTACAATCTCTAGTGGGCCGCCCGTGCCAACTTAGTTGCCGGAAGTTGTTCGCAGCCATATTTTGTGTAGAGAGTGTTTGACCTTTTGTAGTATTAATTTATACGTGTATAATTTGGCAGAAATGTATTAAGAAATCATGATTATTGAAGCATTACAGATGCTACTTTTGTCCTTATCATTCATCTCAGATCGTATGGGGTATCAAAAAAGTTCCCTATTACTTGGGATAGTGCTGTTTTAGCTGTCATCGCAAAGTGAAGAACGTATCTCCATGGTAACATGATCAATATCGAAGTTGAAGATGACGTTGCTAATAGGCATATTACTTAAAAATGTAAATAATACATGAGGAAAGAAAGAGAGAATCCCATGAAATAACCAATCAGGCGTCACTGCCACTGCACCCATTTGTAAACCCTCCAGATGCCATAACAACTTTGTTGTTTGCAAAGCATCTTGCCTTGACCCAAATCGGGGTGCGGAAGCTTGCAGACCATTCATAGCCATTTTCATCTGGTTGGTCAAAGTATGAGAACCCCCATTCTGTGACACCCTCGCCCAAGCAATATCTCGTTTGTTTAAGAATGGTTTCTTGTCCGTGGTCCCAACTGCTGAAGCCAGCGCCTGCATCCTAGGTTAGCAGATATCAAAATTTAGTGTCGGATCGTAGTGTACCTTTGATAGAGTAGGAGCTCCAGAGAAACTTGTAGTCTCCATTACATGAACCGTACGTCTCCTTCATTGGCCATGGCCTGTTATCACGCTTGACATTGATCTCATACGTGTAATCGTCTCGGCGCCATCTCCCTCCAAACTTCCAGTTTAGCGGATTCTCAGGATCGTTTCCGTCACAACTGTGAACGATTCTTTGAAAAGATTCGATACAGTCATCCTTTTTGAAGTCGCCAGCGTCCTCGCCGAGCTGCAAGACGAAGGTGTGTTCGTCTAGTGTGCCTTGGAAATATGTGAACTCCCTCCTCCAGCCAACTTCATGATCAGGCGCGTTGACATCTTTGCCACAGAACTTTTCAATGCTCTCATTCATCCTGTCGGCTGTTACATAGCCTTTGCGTCCTTCTTTTTGCCAGCATTTGAACTCGTCTGTGACGGCGCACGTCTCCGAGTCCTGGCCGAGTACTTTAGCGCGAAGATCAATGCCTTTGGCAAGTGCAAATGAGGCAATGGTCTCGTGTCCCAGTTCATTAGGATGAAAGAGTTTACCAAAACTGTCAGGTAGTCCTAAGCCTAGGGTCGGATCGAACCAGTCATTGTCTCCCGGACAGCCGGGTGGTGCAGGAGCTCGTTTGTTGAGCTTGTGGATAACTTCCGCACCGGGAGAAGGCGACTTCCAAAGAATACTGTCGTAGATGCTCGGGTCAATTTCGTCCTTGTTAGACGGAAGTGTGCCATTCTCGTGCATTTGCTTGATCTCCTCTTGTCTTCTCCTAAGCTCGTCATGTTCCCAAGTGGCCAGGTTGGTGGACGGTTTAAAGAACTGGAGATCTGGCTGATCATTGTCGGGGTACGCTCCGCTTGAAGATGGATCACACATCTGCCCTTTGACTCCGTCTCGTACCCAAGGATCCCAGTTTGAAAACCCGATTTGGTATTTGATAGACTCTTCGTCGCGCAAGATGTATATGACATCCCTGATTGCATTGTTGATGGCCAAAACGAGTTTGTTGAACCTTTCTCGTCGCGCAGTTGTGAGCGTAAGAGCAGTCTTGAACCAATATTTGGGAAGCCATCTACTGAATGCCCACGACTGTTTGGTGGCACAATCATCATTCTCAGTATTGAAGAACTGGGAATAGCCGTTATACACGACGACCCCATCTTCGGCCATCTTATCGTTGAGAGCCAAAAGGATCTGCTTGAGGTTGGACTTGAGAATGGTATCGATGTTCTCCTGGGCTTTGTCGATGATTGCATTGCATGTCTCTTCTCCCTCGTAGGGAAGCATGACGCATTTCTTGATCATTCCAGCCTAGAACTTTTGTAAGTGCGTGTCCGAAGGTGAAGCCAGAATGTTTTCAAAACGAGATTCAGAATAGCGTACCAAGCAAAGATCGTTTCCACCAGCAGTCATGATAACCATGTCGATGTTGTCTTTGAGCTTTTCGACTTGCTCAAATATCTGCACGGATCGGTCCCCGCTACATGCAGGAAACTGGAAGTCTTTGACTGAGGATCCAATTGTGTTGTAGACCAGCATTGGATATGACAGGTCATAACGCGAACACAACCAACTGTTTTCATCGTGAAACACACTGCCTAGGTGATTACCTGAACCAATACCAGCAGTGAAACTGTCTCCTATTGCAACCAAGTTCTTCACCCAAGAGTAGTCTGTTGGGTCTCCGTCTCTTCGCGGGCGGACTACTGGTTTGCGTTCCAAGATATTCGAGACTGATCGTTTGTTGATACTTTGTCGCTGGGGTTTTATGGCAGCTCCAGAGGCTGTGGAAATGACTGATGTGAATAATACCGTCCAAGCCAGTAAGGGAGCCATGATGCCGTAAACGAGAAGGCAAGACTTTTGCAAGATCCGGATCAATGATAGGTTGGCTACCTTTCTAAAAGGCTATTGTAAGCAGACTTCGAGAGAGCAGCTGGGAAAACTCACTTGAGCAAAGTTCTCCTTTACTCGTCTGTACAGATTATGAAGACGAAGATGAGCCTTTTGCAATACCAAACGGCAATTTTGGTGGGAGAAGCAATAGAACCGAAAGCAAAGCTGCCTATTCCTTGTTCAGCGGCATACGGCAATCGGAAGAATTGATGGGAGTATGGTCGCCTGAAAGTCGAGGCATGGACCCAAACCCTCTAATGTCGGTATACATTTAGGCCCGTTGCACAGCCATGTCCCTGTCCGGTATCTTGTCCGCATGCATGCAACCAAATGCTTGTAAAGCTAGGTTGCGGGAGGGTGCAGGGGCTTGCATAAAGGTTCGCACTAGCGTAAGTCGGCCCACTCACAAAATATGGGGGACACACCTGGATGCTAGCGGCTCGGGGCGCCTGATCGACCCTGAAAAGCATGCAAGGCCTGAAAGAAGATGAAAGTTGGGTAACTTCAGGGGACAGAGTTTGCAAGGCCTCCACTCACGATCGGAGATACGCGTTCAGTGTCATACACTTTGTGGCTGTCATAAGGTTAACAGACGCTTGACAGATCTGATTTCATACTTCATTCAGCACACATGCACATGCTAAAGTACATACCTTAAAACACTGAATGCGATACAATCGTTCTGTATAGGTGGGTGCTTCTTCATCAATCAATCGATCTCGTGTCATTTCCCGTTTTCTCAGATCTTGTACTTGGCAGCCTGTATGCCCGCACATCCATTTAATCAGATGCACAATAAATTGCGACGTTGCATGCAAAGAAAACCCTGCATATATTTTTTAAGGCGGCCTCTATTGGAAGCGGCCTTATCAGGCACTTTCCTCGTGGCGGAAGTGCCGTCCTTGGTCTGAGTTCATCTACTAGCCCCTCGCTATCATCTCGGCCCTATCTCACCATCGTGTCGGGTCAGGCGTTCCGCTGTTTTGTTACGGTATCGTATAATTTACTGGGATCAGCTTTTCAAGATAATCTTAAGCTGCGAAGCTAATGAATTTGATCAACACATGACACCGCGGCTGGGTATTCTAGCATGTGTTGCAAGGATGATTATTCATTTTGGTTACCCGTATGCACTTGTTCCACTGCCCAACAGTTATATTTAGCGCATCTCAATATCGATGCCTTGGCTTTCCCTTTATGGAAGGACCAAGCTAGTTCTCTTATGGTGGAAAATGATGGGTGCAGCGCACACAAGGTCTCTTGAGATACGGTGCTCTCAATCGAAGCCCGCTGTGTTATCGTGGTCCTACTCACCAAGCATTTCCAACTGTGACATGTCGTAAAGACGTGACTCAATACATTCGGTGAGCACACTTGATTCCCACCATGGAAAAAAGCAGCTAACTTGCTTATAGTTTTATTGCATCATGGCTTCTTCCATCTTAACACTCGTTTTCTCTACTATCTTGGCTGCTCATCCTGTTCTTGCAGGGAGTCGTGCCTGGGAATCTTCGATCGTTTATACTCCACCCAGTTACACTGAGCTACATGGCGACCTTTTCGTACCCGAGAAAGAGAATGCAACAATTGGCACAGGCTCTCGGAGGTCTACAAATGTAATCAAGAAGCGCTATGTGACCATCAACCCAGGTGCCGCCAACTCGGACGACCGTTTGTGGCCAAATGGCAAGATTACATATTGCTTCGAGTCGAAAGCGACAAAGGAGCTGTTCTTCGAAGATCTGCTCGAGGCGAGGAAGCTGTGGGAAAACTCAGGCCTTGGATCTGGCTTTGACTGGGAAGAAAAGGATGAGTCGTAGTAGGTTAATCCCGATGAGAAACTAATTTTTGAAGACTGCATCAGTTCTGACAGAACCTTTGCAGCTGTAACAACAACGCGAACAGGCCGAACTTCCTTCTCATTACCAAGAGCGATGGACTGTCCTGTACCGTCGGCATACCGCCTCTCAATAAGATGAGCGGCGACCCAGAGAACAGAGGGCCTCTGATGAGACTGACTGCAGATCTTGATATTGGAAAGCAAAACTTGGTTGCCAACTTCGCGCATCAAATGGGCGTAAGCATCCCTTCATATTCGGTTCGTCGAAACCCAACTAATAAGAGACTTAGCATGCGTGGGGTCTGCATCACGAGCATCAAAATCCAGCCTTCTGGTCATCTGACTACGCCGCTGCCGGCGGAAACGTCTTCGGTGCTTCAAATTTCAAATGCGAGAATCTGAAAGACTATGCCAGTGTCGCTGCAACGCTAACTGCCGATCAAATGAAGAAAGCTTGCACTTCGAGGGCTTTTGCCAAAGCTCATCGATTCAGCGCTGCTGAGTATCTCCCATTTGTTGATTCAACTGCATATAGAGCGAGCAAGTCGGTTACGGAACCTGATTGGGACTCTATCATGATCTACGATAGTGGTATGGGATCAGTCTTGACCAAGCCGAATGGCGATCAGATCAAGCAAGTCCTTGCTCCCAGCCAACGTGATGTCGAGGGTCTAAAACTCTTGTATGGCATTTCGCCCGAGTCAAAATTCAATCCACTTGGAAGTAAGTCTAATTCCAAGAGGAACAAGTTCAATGATATCCGTAAGAAAGAGAGGGACAGTGGGTGTGGAGAGGTGCCCGATGATGACCCGACAGGGCAAGTATTGTGTACTCCCGCTACCTGTGGTGGAGGCTCTTGCCCGGCTAGGAGAGCGCGAGCTGTAGAGACCACAAGCAACCGGAAGGCATTGCCTCGTGCAATCCCGACAACAGCAGACCCAGTGTTCGGTTTCTTGAACAAACCAACACAGGGAGGTCTGGACGCTTTCGCCCAAGAATTCTTCGATTCCAAGCCTTTCTTAGTCGACTTGGAGGATGTCGACCATCAAGAGCATTCCACCTCCATCTTCATGCAGTGGAAACAAGGACCGTTCATGGCTGGTGTCATGGGTCTGTATGGATGTACATCTGTGCTGTTGACTTCTCAATGCGGAATGTTTATGGTAAGAGGCCATCAGTCTTCGTGAGAGATATCATTTAGCTAATAATAGACAGTCGCATCATTGGGAAAGCTGGTGGAAGGGAAAGCAAACCGAAGAACAGTTCCGAAATGCAGTCATCAAGCCCCTAGTAGAAGGCGATGTTGACAATCCCTCCTTTCTGGGTTTTCCTCAACTCCCCCAAAACTGCCTAACTAAAGAGAAGAATCTTAAGGTATGTATATCCTTTTTTTTATTTAATAACTGCGGTTCCCATATACTAACGACATCATCAAGGCAACCATATTCACACCTACCTTTGTCGCCGGAACCAATTCGAAGTACCAGCCTCGAGTAGCAATGCTTGTGGAAGCTGTTGCTAAGTCCATGTCAATAGCAGAGTCCGACATCACGATCCAACTCTACGACGCTAAAGTGGAGGACAACTACAAAGATGATTACCAACAGGTCAAAAATACTGATACAGCAAGTGGCAAGGTCATGCTGACTTACAATAACGACATCTTCAAGGATGGGCGCAGGGCTGCATACCAAGTCTGGGGCGGAGCTTTGGTGACCGATGTAAAGCAAGCTAACAGTGCTATCAACACAGCAATGATGCAGGTGAGTTGTGATTTCTATATGCACAGTCATTCTATGTTTAGCTACAATCGCTGAACGAACAAAATCTGCTCATGATATGGCGTATGCTGACTTCGGGCTCCAGGATACTTGGGAACCAAATTTCTCAAGAAAGCGAGCGATTTTGAAATTTTTCGGTTTGGCTTAGGCTAAACTCCACATTTGACTTCACTTTCCCTTGTTTCTTTTCGCCCCCGTTTACCTTAGTCCCATCTCTTCTTCGTCTATAGCTCTTCACAAATCAAAGCTTTCATGCGTCCTCAATGCGTTTCGTATTTGGAGTTGTTCCATAGCTAGAACGTACATTGTGAGCTTTTCAGTGAAACAAGGGGGTATGCAGTGAAAGGTGGACCCACAAAACGCCTTTGATGGGCTGGAAGACGATTCACTGATTAAAGCCACCGCCCTTATATCCATATCTTTCTCTCCCACGTGCATGTGTCATCGCCACGCAATTTACTCGATCACCAAGTTGGCAGTTTACGTAAATTTCATCACTGCACTAGAGTCATTTACTTCAATCCGCAACTGGTCACACGTGTCGCGCACGATCATTCACTATGGTTTCAGTAACAGAGTTTTCTGGTTCATCTCTATACTCTGGCCCAACAGCACAAAGTGCTCGCCTCACTCAGTCATTATCTGAACGCCATCTTCAATTTGGGTACTCTCCATCAACCTTTTCCGATATCTTTCCTTTGACTGCTTCTACGGTCGGCTCCTTCACGCAACCTTCATACGGATTTAATACTAACTCCAGACACCTCTCTGAGTCCCACACTCCAAATATGTCCAGTCAGTCCCAGCCGCCATCCGAGTCTGATGAACATTACATTAGAAATATGCGCGCTGTACGCCAGAATCATCTAAGTATGCCTGACCACAATGAATTTGTCGCTGCTGCGATATCGAGACGGAACACAACACAACTATCTAGTACGATGCAGGTTGAGATCCAGTCGCCTCCATACCTACTGTATGATGAGAATGTTGACACTCCGTCAACATATATTGTCCAAAGTGCTCACGATATATATTTCCATCAGCCAACAGCAGAGGACTTTTCCCGACAACATCATCCACTGCCACCACCGCCAGTGGAAGTATACGACATCGATCAAAATCTCCCAGTAATCGAGCCAGACTCATACCTAGAAATGGATGAGCTTGAACAGCCTATTAAAGGTCCTGGTGATTCCCGACCTTGTAACACAGATGCAGATACTCCCACGCATCCTTCCACTCCGTCTCCGCCCGAGCCATCATTCTCACATTACAACGGCCGCGTACAATCCATCGACAGCGACATGTATCAGCCAGCTCTAGGCGGCCTACACAAGATCTCGAACATTTCACGCAAAATCTCGAAGTGCAATGGAATCAAAAACGCGGTCAGCAGGCTAAACCCTTTCAAGCGCCAGCGACGGTTTCGGAGTGCGACAAAGCGATAAAAGATGGGAAGGTCCTTTGTTCGCTTCGTTCCAAGTCAGCCACCAACCAAAGACGCTGCATGAGTTGGCCGCCGGTAATAATAGAGTATACATGCCCGGAAGTCTTGGAAGTGCGCACTTGTGGTTAACTCTATTGCATGGGCATGGAGATGGTAGACTTGCGGGTCAGCTTTTCCTTTCCTCCTCTTAGTATAAACACTCAAAAGTTAGCTGTTGCATTCACTAAAAGCATTTTCTTCTCTTCTTCTAAATCACACTCCGACGCTATCTCTTTGTGCTGAACAAAAAAGCCGCATTTGCATCTGTACTCCATCACCTAACAACGGGCTCCAAGCAAGATAGATCCCAAAAAAAAACTCGCGGCATCCTACATCGCAATCTTCGAAACAATATCACCATCCGAAATATTTCCTTAGGTGAGCTAGACACTAAGAGAGGGAAAATGACAAACAGCCATTCGTCGTCACACAGCACCCCGCGCCTGCAACTTTCAACACCATTTTCCCTTCATCTTTGTTACCCTCAAATTGCACACAAATCCCCAATGTCGATGCATCATCATCACAATGACTCACTCTAAACTGCAATACACTCTATAGCCCATTGGTACCCCCCACTCACCGGTTACATCCCTCTGCCATATTTTCAGCCCGCCCAGCCCTGTACTACTTAGTACGAGGTGCGGCTGAACAAGCCAGACCCCGCGCAGTCATACCACTCAAAAGGGCTCGTAACCAACACCAGCATGTCTACTAAAGTGCCACATGTGCTACAGAAAACTCCCTCCGAAAAAAAAAATACTCGTATAAAGTCTCAAAACCTTCACACAGCGTTTTCAGGTACATTCTCAGCACATCCACCTAACCCATAAGCTTTGTTAGCCACCAGCAATCTTGCACCATCGTCTTCACCCACTCTCCCAACCATTAGAACCCATACACACCGATCACGCACAAAACAACAAACACCATGCCCTTCGGTCCCTTAGCCCTTCAATGGCACTCCCCAACCCCCAACCCTCCCACCCCCTCCCC